CTTCTAGCTCATTCCCAGTCCTCACAGATACTAACAAAGTAACATTTGCAAATTAGAGATGATATGGGAAGTCTATAACAAGGAGACTGGAAAAATTCAGTGTTGTAAGACTGATACCTGAAGAGCTGAGAAGGTAGATCAGCCCAAGCAGTAATGGAAATGACGTCCCAGGGTATCAGAGGAAGAAAAACCAACTTTTCTCAGCTGCTAATAAACCCTCAAAGGACAACATCCATCACAATTGGAAATGAGCACTGGTGAATTTGCATTCATCTGCATATTCCTCCTTTGAATCTCAGAAGCAGATTCTTATCTTTCCTCCCCTGTACCTGCTGCTTTCCCATCCCCTCTTATCTACTTTAGAATCTGGCTTCATCTCTCATTTCCTCCCTTCTATTCTTTAACCCTTTCATTTATGAATTTCAATTTATAAACTCACTAGAGTACCTCACTACCAATATTCCCATCTTCATCTTGCTAACTACCAGCTGCCACCTTTTCTTCCCTTTCTATTCAAAATGATCCAAAGATTCATCTAAACTCACTTTTACAGGTACCTTTCACTCACCTTCCCATCACTTACAATTGGTCTTTTACTGAAATTAGTGACTACTTTTAAGAGAAATATAAAAGGAACTCTCATTGGTTCTCACCTTTGAACTCTTGCTACACTGGGCAATGTTGATCTTCCTTTTCTAAAGTCCTTTTTTTTTTTTTTTCCTAGGGCTTCCAATACAAGACTTTTCCTAATCCCTTTATAATTCCTAGATCTACTTTTGGGTGCTGTCGTTTTCTATTTGCAACTTTGATATGTTTTGTTAAGCTCAGGTGTTGTGCTATTGTTAGGCTCTGAGCTACCCACTGTGTTGATTAGGGTTCTGCAGGCCAACAGAAGCAACACTGAAGACTGTCTAATCAAAGAAGCAATACAAGGGAACGGTGAAACATCAGTGTGCACTCTGGGCTAGAAGTAAAAATGTGGTAAACAGAAACTCCCATGGAGGAATTCACCCACTGCCCAAACTCCTGGGGAATTGTTTTGGAAGGACAGAAATGCCCTGACTATCCTTCATGTCTACCAAGCTTCAGTTTTCTGCTCATGCTTCTCACTGTGCACAGTGGTGCCTGGGGGATGCAGTCTCCACAGAGCAATCTCCTGAGATGCACAACAAAGCATGCAGGGTGGAGATGGAACATGCGTAGAAGAGCCAGCACACAAACACACTGCCTACCATCTCCTTCATTAGGCTAGAGTCTCACAAGACTGGAAAGATGCCACATTTTGGTGACATTTTCGTTCTACATAGACAGGACAGTGAAGACTCCACAACTTAATTTTAGTGTACAGTAAGTGCTATGAAGGAATAATTTAGGGTGGGAACTGAGGTACAGTGGTAAACCTCTCTCTGGCATCCTTGAATTTCCTATGTTAGCACCTAGTTTTGAGTTCCACCTATGCTTTCAATTCAGCTTCCTGCTACTTCACTTGGAAGACAGCAGATGATGGCTCAAATACCTGATCTCTGCCAGCTACGTGGGGGATCAGGATGGGAATTCCTGGCTCCTGGCTCCAGCTGTTACAGGCATTTAGAGAGTAGGCCAACAAATGGAAGATTTTTCTGCCACTCTACCTTTCAAATAAATAAGTGAATAAATAAATAGCATGTTGAAAAGAGAAGAAGAAAATATCAAGGACACAACAACTCTGATGTAGAGGGTAGTCTGGGAAGACATCCCTGCAAAAGTGACAGGAGTGCTTATAAGAAATGAGAAGGAAACCAGGCCTTCTAAGACCAGCAGCTTGCTCAAACAGGAGAGATCAGCAAACATCCTGGGGTGGAAACTTTGGCTAGAGCAGGAAACAGGAGGCTGGGCTGCTCATTTGGCTGAAAGGCAGGGTGGCAAGAGATGAGGCAGGAAGCTCGGGCAGAGGCCAGATCAACGAGGGACTTGTAGAGCAGGGAAGCAGTAAGGGCTTATCCCCAATACAATGTTAAGTTTTAGGCTGTTCATGGTGATTTGGTATATATGGGTCAAGTAAGGTGCATCTAATTTCCAATAGTATGATGCTGTGAAAAATAAACTGTGGTAAGATTTGTTCCATTGTCATTTGGGTTGTCCTGCCTAGAGCTCTTGTGCCCAGAAGACTTGGGTAATATCTTGGGTTGAGATGGCATTGTCTGAATCAGGATGGCTTAGAAATAAGCGTTATACAACTGGATTATATTATTTTGAAAGATGAATTTAAGAATAGAAGAGAGTAAACTAATCAATTGGTAATATGATAACAGAGGTAGAGAAGAAAAGAGATAGAGTAAGAGATAAATAGTTTACTCTGGAAGTTTCTGTGTTCCTACTAGCTTTCATATAGCTGTACATTCTTCTTCACCACCTTTTAATTAAAGCAATCTCTGAGTTTGTCTTTGAGCCAAGCAAGTTTCTAACTAGCACGTGGGTGTCCTCAAGATTTCAGGCTTAGATGTAACTTCATGTTCTTCAGTCATGGGTGATAAAGATCTGCTTCCGGACTAATGAAATTTGCAAATCTCCAGCTTAAAATCAGCAAGGTTTTCTTCTCACTTTTCATGTTCACCACGAGATGGCTGAGACTCTATTTGCATTACCATCACCACAAGATCACCACACTTTGGAACAATGTAGATTGCCATGGCAAAGATAAAGGGGGTTCCGGAATGTCTTGCATCAGTAATTAAATGTTATGCCCACAATTCACTGGCAGAACACACCATGCAGTACAATCCAACCACAAGATCAGGATGTACAATTCCATCACTCACCTAAGAGAACAGGAAATACTTCGTACACCCACTACCATTCACTCAATCACAACCATGGCTTTAATTGCTCTTGTACCTCAACATGAATACTTCTAGGGATAATAGAACATCACATTTGCATGGTATTCTCAGACATCTGAAATCTAAAGTAACACAACAGAGCCTTTTATTTTCCTTATAAACCTTATAAATGGGTCAGTGTCCCATTATCTATCTGCTACCTCAAATATGTAACCCAAGTGTTATTTGACTTCTTTCGTTTAATAACCAGTCATCAATCTCAGAGCTGGCTTCTATGTAATCTATCCCCATCTAACTCCACCACCTTTCTGTAACTTTCGCTCCTCATAGATCCTTTTCCAGGAAATTCCAAGCCCCCTTTCTTGTTTCTCATTCTTCATTTGTTTTCCTATAAACTGAACAATTTGTACATTCAACAAATATTTGGAGTGTTTATTAAAGAAGTAGTAGTTCCACCTTGAAAAAAAATCAATCTACAGAGTGACAGGGATATAAAAAGCTACAACATAATGAGGTCAATGTGGTAACAGCTGTGTAGAAAGCAGCCTGGGCGAGGAAGAGAAACACCAAGCTGGGTGTGAGGATGAGAGGGAGGCAGAACGGGATGCTTCTAAAAGTGAAACTTCAGCTAAAGGCTGAAGAGGCCTAGCAGCTGCTCCTCCAGGTGAACCACAGGAAAAGGTGGTGGAGGAAGACACCAACGCTTGGAGGTGGAATGAGCAAAGGCGTGATGAGAAAGGATCCAACCTAGTCAGTTAGTGGGCAGGCAGCTGGGTGTGAGGCCACCCCACTACTGGGTTGAAAAACCGAAAAGGAAGAGCAAAGTCTATGACGAATAAGGCTTTTATTGGTGGCTATAAACACACTGTTGAATACTAATTTCACGTTTCATTCTAACCGAGTTACTTTACCTAATCTTTACAACAATTTTAGGAGATAAGGTTATACTATTATCTGTATTTTAGAAGTGAAAATGAAACATGGAGGAGGTTCGAGTGACACTAAATCCGTTTTGCATCCTAGTGCATGTTGCCATCTACCAAGCTATGCTACTTGAGTGGCTGCGGGAATTCCACCTGGGTATGTCCACAGGCTGTGGCAAGAGAAGTTGGGGAGACACACTGCGTGGGGGCAGAGGAGTGGAGGAGGGGTTGTCAGCAGCTCATGGAAATGGGGGCAGGGTCATGAGTGCTTTGATACGAAGATAGCTCAGGAAACCCTGAAAAGGGAAGAAAGAAAGGGGACTCCAGTAACGGCAACCTTAAAGGGCCAAAAAGAGAAAAAACAGGAAAAGTGTTGGAGAAGGCGCCACGGGATAGGGGGCAGCCTCAAGAAATGCCTTTCCTTCGTGTGTTCCGCAGACCAGTGGCTGGCACTGGGTGAAGGACCTCTGGGCTTAACGCGGGCTCTTTCTGTCCATTGGACTCCCACCTCATCACTGCACCCAAAGCTTGGGCAGTCAGACACGCCCTCACTGGACAGAGCAAGAGTCCCTCCTCCCAGTACGGCTCCAAGGCAGCTCAAGATGTGAGCACCCTTCGCGTGAGCGAGGACTGCGGAAATCACAGGAAGCACTGGTGCATTCCACGCAATCGGTTCCCACCAGGTGGGGGAGCGGCTTGGAGCCCCAAACAGATGCGTGCGCTGACACGCAGGCACTCACGCGCCTGTGACTCCCGGCCTGGCCAGGACCCATGCCAACTAACCCCGGCGGGCGCCTCAGTCCCCGCACCTCGCCCCCGTCTCTGAGTCCCTCGCCTCAGCCCCCGGCCCGACCTCCTCAGCCCCTCGCCCCTCGCCTCAGCCCCCTCGCCCCTCGCCTCAGCCCCCTCGCCCCTCGCCTCAGCCCCCGACCCTGCTCGGCCCGCTCGCCCCTCGCTCCGTCCCCGTCCCCGTCCCGACCCTCCTCAGCCCGCGCAGGGGCCTCGCGCGTCACGGAGGCGTGGCCAGGACGCAGCAGGCGCGCGCCCGGCGTGCCCGAAGGGGGCGTGCAGGGCCCACCTCCGCTCGGCCGCCCACTCGTCGTCGCCTTCCTCGGGGCCGCCCCCCCCGCCCCCCCTCGTCTCCTGAGCAGAGGCCGGCCAGCAGGGCGCCATGCAGGGCCGACGCCTGGCGGGCGCCTCGGCCGAGGGACTGGCCGGCTGAGGGGGGTTGTGGGGAGGCCCGCGGCGGGCCGAGGCCATGCGGGGCCCGGGCGGCGGGAGCCTGCGGCAGGCGCAGCCCCGGCTGGCGCAGCCCCGGTTGGCGCAGGCCCGCGCCGAGCTGCCGGCCCTGCGGGCGCTGCCGCGGGCGGCGGGCGGGGACGAGCCGGGGCAGCGCCTCCCTCGCGGGGGCGGGGCGAGCGCGGCGGCGGCGGCGGCGGCGGCAGCGGCAGCGGCGGTGGCGGCCGCGGCCTCCGGCGCCCTGCTCGGCGCCTATCTGGAGCGCCACGGTCCGGCCGCGGTGGCCTCGGAGTTGCCGGCGCCGGGCGGGGCCTTGGCGGGCGGCCCCGGCAGCGGCGGGGTGGTGGTCGGCGTGGCGGAGGTGAGAAGCTGGCGCTGCTGCTGCCTCCTCGGCAGCACCTGTTGGTGCCGGAGCCTCGTGCTGGTCTGCGTGCTGGCCGCCCTGTGCTTCGCTTCTCTGGCCCTGGTCCGCCGCTACCTGCAGCACCTCCTGCTCTGGGTGGAGAGCCTCGACTCGCTGCTGGGGGTCGTGCTCTTCGTCGTGGGTTTCATCGTGGTCTCGTTCCCCTGCGGCTGGGGCTACATCGTGCTCAACGTGGCCGCCGGTTACCTGTACGGCTTCGTGCTGGGCATGGGTCTGATGGTGGTGGGCGTCCTCATTGGCACCTTCATCGCCCATGTGGTCTGCAGACGCCTGCTCGCCGCCTGGGTGGCCGCCAAGATCCAGAGCAGCGAGAAGCTGAGCGCCGTTATTCGTGTGGTGGAGGGCGGAAGCGGCCTCAAAGTGGTGGCGCTGGCCAGGCTGACCCCCATCCCCTTTGGGCTTCAGAATGCAGTGTTTTCGGTGAGTGCTGTCCCGCTGGCCTTGGGCCTCTCCGGACTGGGAGCAGCCCTGGGAGGGCGCTGCGGCCGGCGGATACCGGCGGGGAAGTGACATTGACAATGGGGAGTTACAGTTAGTTTCCATCACGCCTCCTTCCCCCCACCCCCTTCCCCAGTTGAGAGCGCTCCAGAGAGAGCTAGAGAGCTAGAGCGACAACAGATCCAAAGCAGGGCCTGCTTGGGACTTCTGGCGGAAAAAGAACTACTGTATTCCTTTTCAGGACGCCGGTTTGAGTAGCAACGGATTCCTCGGACCATATGGTGGGGGCGTGAGAGGATGTGTCCACTTCTAACATTGGTCGTCTGATTGCCGCGGCCGCGTTGGCAGCATCTTAGGGAGGAGGGAGGCTTCCCGTGTCTGGGTTTATTTTGCCCACGTAAATGCGTCCAGGGCTTTGACTCACGTTTTTAACTGCTTGGGGCTGAAGCAAGCATTGTGAGTACACAGTGCAAGGGATGGTTGGAGATTCCGGATTTTGGAGTTCCCTGCATTACTAAAGGCAGTTAATTTTGATACAGTGTACAGGAGAAAGCGCTTGGGTTTATCTAATTTTGGGCCAACTTCAATTTGAAATCAGAGTGATGAATAAAGTACTTGTGTGCTCAATGAGCATGCCTTTTTGTGCTGCGCCTCGGGTCCTGTGCGTGTTGGCCCCAGGTGTGTCACATGCACCTGCATGTAGCTGGTTTAGGAGAGAAGCACGGCTGGCCTAGAGACCACCTTGCCTTTGGAAGGAAGGAAGGAAGGAAACAGGTCTTCCTAAAGTTTATGACTTTGGAGACAGATTCCTAATGATGTGGCTTCAGGTCCGTTCCTCTTTTCTGAAGTGAGGGACTTCAGCAAGCCAAGTTCCTTAACTTCAGTGAATCTCAGCCCCAGAGTCCACTCAGATTCTCAGCAACTCAGTCTTTGAGTTAGACTCGAAGGCAGCCGTGTGCTGCAATTTTGATGTGTGATTTTCCTGTTCTCCAGGTGGGTGCCAACCCCTGACCTCAGCTGTTAGCGCACATTCTTGTGACTGGTGAAGCCAGTCCTGCACACAGAGCTCACGCACCTCCTCTGGGCTGCAGTCTCCTGCTTAAGGGTGTGGGGTGGGGGCCCTGGGAGCAGGCTGCTTGCACAGACGCTGCTGACCTCGGTCAGCTTGCTTCTCCTCTGTACTTCAGGTGGAGAAGAGTCCTTAAAAAGCCCAGAGGCAACCGACCTTGATGTTAACAAAACACTCAACTCTTGTCTTCCCTAGCTCCTTTTGTTATCTCTCGCCAAGGTCACACAGGTAGTAAATAAATAATGGGGTCAGACTTTGAACTGAGGCCTGTTGGGAGTGTTTCAGCCCAGGGTCTTCTGTTTCTTCCTTGCACACGGAGTAAGACCTCATTACGCTGATGGAAGTAAAGGCAGACTTTGGTGTTACAGGGCTTGGAATCAGCTGGTAGGGTGCGTCTGACTGTAAAAAATGTTTTCTCTCTTAAGATTGATTTATTGATTTGACAGAGCTACAGAGAGGGAGAGACAGAACCGAAGAGATCCTGTGTCTGCTGGTTCATTCTCTGGATGGCCACGATAGCCAAGGCTGAAGCCAGGAACCAGGAGCTTCTCATCTGGGTCTTCCCCATGAGTCCTAGGGGCCTAAGCCCTTGGACCATCTTCTGCTGTTTTTTTTTATCAGGTCATTAGCAGGGAGCTGGATAGAAAATAGGTAGTTGGGACAAAAACTGGCATCCATGTGGGATACCGGCATTGCAGGCAGGAGCTTTACCCACCTCACCACAACACTGGTCCCAAAATTCTTGCTCTTTAGCCATTAACAAGGGTGTTTTGTAAAGCACCCAATGTGGTCCATTGTATCATGTTCATCCTGCTATTTGGAATTGTATGCTTGCAGAAGCAAGCTTGTTCCACCACAGCAGTTCCTTGAATTCCCCCAGGGCATATAAGAGGAAAGAAATTGTGGTTTAGGCTGATGTTTTACTTTCTCTGCTTCATCACCTCTGGCTGCCAGCAGCCTCCTCTCCAGGCTTTTATCTCTAGTTTTCTACTTCTCTCCCTACTTTTGAAATGATCCCATGGTTCTTTATTTAGTTCTGTTTAAACCTCATTTTCATAATTCCTACCATTAAATTGATCACAGTTTACCCCAGGAAGAAGGTAGGTACTGTGGTCATGAGAGCCAGGGCCTTGGACAAAGACAGTCCTTGATGAGTCTGTGCTCTGTGGCCTTCTGCCAAGTTTCCTTGTCTGTAAAATGGAGCTGTTGGGGTCAAGTAAGCTAATACAGTGAAGGCGTCAATGATTGTTACCTGGACCATAGCCATGTCTCAGTAATGATTGGATATTATTAGTGGTGGAGGCGGTGGTATTTATATTTTAGAGGCTGGGCCTGATTGTAAAGGGTGGGTATGGGCAAGGAAGAAAGGGGGCATTGCCTTGCTTCCTATCTATTTTTAACTATAGTTCTTTGCTTCTCCTCTGTGTCAAAAAACTGACACTCCACTTTTGAAATTCTCAAATTTGAAAATATGCACATAACGCATAACTTCTTAAGCCATAGAAATGTAAGTCTCTCAAGTACGTGCTTAAATTCTTCCCTCTTTCAAGAATGTACCCAGTGTTTCTGTAAAGAAAATGAGACCTTTTTGTTTTTTAAAGCTAAGCTTATAATTGCATGTAAATTGACTTTTATAGTTTTGCTTGAGAGAGAGAGGATCTTCCATGTGCTGATGGACTCCTCAAAGGGCTGCTGTAACCTGGGCTGCAGCTGCAGCTGAGAGCCAGGAATGGTCCAGGTCTCCTACGTGGATGTCACGGACCAAGCACTTGAGCTATCACCTGCTGCCTCCCCGGGTGTGCACTAACACCTGGAGCTTGAACGCAGGCAGTCATTGGTGTGAGTCCAAACATTTGTTTCCAGTTTTTTTCATTTGTAATGTAATCGTGTATCTTCAAGTCTTGCTGCCCAGTAAGATGAATACCTAAACGTGTAGTTGTGTTTCTAAATGCTGCTCTTATGGGGTATGTTCCAAAAGTGACCTTTATTGCTTTCTAAATTACCCTGCAGTAACAACTGGTCAAACTTGGTAGATTAAAAAGCAAAGGATTTTTATTTTGCACAGAACAGTTTCAGTTTGAACTTAATTGTCTTTTTTTTTTTTTTTTAACCCTCCCTCCCCTGCCCCTGGATCCAAGCCAGCAAAGCCACCATCTTAGACTTACTGTTGTGGCATGGCAAATTATATGCTGGATTTTCGTTTCCTTGTGTAAGTAGCCTTTTTGCTGGCCTGAGCAAATTATAAAGTGACAACTGACTTCAAAGGGGGTGGTGGGTGTGTCAGGAAGGAGAGAACTGGGGCATTTGGTAGCACCCTGAAAGTCCCTGGCACTTGACTGTCACCGTTCTGTTGTTCCCGTGTCTCGTCGTTGGCTAAGTACTGTGTCTTTTGCTGCCTGCACACATCAGCCCACTCCAGGTGTACAGCCTGCACCTGGTCCCCACTCTGCCTTGGCTTTCCCACCTCAGTTCTGTCTGGGAAGATCTTTCTGTAGTGCCTTTGTGATCTTAGTTGGTTGTCACCTGCATGAAATCCTTCAAAGGAGTTTTCTTTTCCTTCCTTGGGGGTAAATTCTACACCATTGTGGGCTCACCTCACTGGCCTCTCTCCGGCCATTCCACGGTGAATTTCTGTGTGCCCTTTGATGTGTTAATTCCTGTAATCCTCACCACCCTAAGAAGTAGGCGTGGTATTTCCGATTTAAGGGTAGAAAGTAAAACTCTAGGTTTTCAAAGTTCGAGTTCTTCTTTTCGTCAGTTACCAGAAAAAGTAGGTATGGATCAGTAAGAAAGGAAAATTGATACAGATGTGGAAGGAACTGGAATCCTAAAAAGAGGAAACCTACCCAGAAGAAAGTTGTTGAAAAAGTTGAAAATCAGAGTAGCATCCTATTCTGTGTTGAGGAAGCTTTGAGAAATGACCTCCTAAGGTCTACCCTGCGATTCCCTCGTGGAGACCTGTAGTTTTAAAGCTACCTCCCTGTGACAAGTTATCTTAAATCTAAAAACGGGACGAAATTTTTGGTTATGACAGGTAACAGAATTCACAGTGGTGCTTGCGACTTCCAAAAGGGTGAGGAGATCCCAAAGGTCAGGCCCTGTCTCTTGTCACTTGAACCGAAGAAAGGAACCTTAAAAAATCAGATAGTGTGTGTATAGTGGTCTGTTCTTAAATCCACATCAGAAGACTTTTTTTCAGCCATTGTTAAATTTTAAAATGTGAAGCACAGTGTGAAAGCCCTCTTCCTGTGGTGTATACTGCTGTGCAGTTTATAGAGCACATTGTCACAGCAGTCCCTGAGGAGGGATCAGAGCCCAAGTAGCAGTTTGGAAAGGACAGCTCTCACAGCCTTGAAATCGACTTGATTATAACCTAGACCAGGTCAACCTGAGGTAGTTCATCTTTTTTTTTTTTTAACTTACTTGAAAGGGAGCAGGACAGATAGATCTTCTGTGTCCTGGTACATTCTCCGGAAGGCCACGACAGTGGAGGCTGTGCCAGGCCAAAGCCAGCAACCGCACATTTATCCAGATCCCTCACGTGGGTGGCAGCCACGCACGTATTTGAACCTTCCTCAGCTAACCTCGCCCAGTGTGCGTGAGGAGAAAGTGGAGCAGGCAGCCCGAGCAGAGGCGCTGGTGATATAAAATCCAGGGGTCCCCAACAATGCCATAAACTGTGCCAGGCACCCACTGCTCATCTTTTGAATCGTTCTGTTGAAAAATATGTTCAATTATACCTGTTGTAGTGAAATACTTAGTTTGTTTATTATTATTCTGTTCTCTGCATTCCAAATTGAAGAGATTAGCTCAAAGTTTTTTGTTTAGCAAAATCTTTACCATGTTCTTTGTGTACGCATTCTTATTTAATGCTCATCTCAACTTTGATCCCCTTCTTATAACTGAGATGGTT